GTATTTTAAGGGCTTTTTAAAAAGATTAAATAATAAGAGATTTTTCTTTTTTTTTAAAGGAAAGAGAAAGAAATACATGTAATGTGAAGAGTGTTCCTTCACAGGGAGGGGAAATAGCCAAGCTCCTAAGACAGGGAGTAGTAGCCGGTGGTGAAGAAAACCCACACACTGTACACACCAGCGCAGCATAGTGTGTGAGAGAGAGAGGAGATAAAGTCAGGTGGTTGGAAGCCAGATCGTTTACTTTGTTTCCTTAATGAGTCTGATTATTACTTTCGGTGCAGTGAAAAACTCTATAAACTCCTACTTACACATTTTGATTTATGATTCAGATATCAGTCTGTCGGGTATGTGGCCAATAAACTATAGGGTGCAATAGGTAAAGCAGGAAATCTAATAAGGTGATTCTATAAGTAATTCACATGAGACACCATGTTACCTAACCTAGGGTGGTATAGTGGTATAGATAGAAGTGGATCGATTTGGGATATGTTTTAGAGGTGGAGTTTACTGAAGTTTACTGAAGGAATAGGTAGAGTAGATTAACTCTTAGATATTATTTGATTTTGTTTGAATGGATGACAGTGCCATTGGTAGAACTGGAGGAGACTGTAGAAAGAGCATATTTGTTGCTTTTAAAATTATGAAGCTAGATAGCTGGATGCAATTACCTGGAAGGACTGTGAGGGTAAAGAGAAGGGACCCTTAATCTAAAGCTCACAGGCACTTTAATGTGTAGAGATTGAGCAGAGGAAGATGGTATAGCTCTAAAGGCTGAGAGGAAGTCATTCAAGTAGGAGGGAAACTAGGACAGTGTGGCACCATAAACAATTGGAAAAGAAAATGTTTGAAGATTGAGAACATGGTCAAATTTGTCAAATGAAATACATGGTAAAATAAGGGGAAAAAAGTGATCATTGACTTTAATCACATAAATTGAAGATCAGTGTGATCATATTGGCAAGTCTTAGCAGAATATGAGGACTGGAAGTCTGATTGCAGTAGGTTGGGGAGAGAATAGGTGGTGAGAAATTAGAGGTGATACCTATAGACATATCTTTCAAATATTTTTACTCTGAAGTAGAGCAGAAAGAAGGGCAAGAAGAAGGGGTGGTGACTGGAAAGGCAGCATGAAGTCAAAGAAGATGCTCGAGCGTGTTTCTGTTTATGGCCTTTGATATGACAGAGAGGAAGGAAACCATGATGAGGGAGGAGAGTGCAGCATCTGGAAAAAAATAGGAACAGAGATGTCAGTAGTAACAGCAGAGACGGAAGAGTATGGAAGCGTACAGACAAGCGGTTGGACAGATAGATTCAGTGATGGGAAGTGAGACGGTTGCTGCTTACTTCTGTTTTCTCAGTGGTTTGAAGCAGGGTTATCAGTGGTTTAAGGCAGGTTGTCAGTGGAGAGTGGATTGAGGGAGAGAAGATAGGAAGTATCTCCACCCGGAAAATGGGCTTTGTTGTCATTCAGTGGCTCAGTCCTGTCTCACTCTTCATGACTCCATGGTCTGCAGCACACCAGGCCTCCCTGTCCTTCACCGTCTGCCAGAGCTTGCTCAGAGTCATGTCCATTGAGTGAATGATGCCAACCATCGTCCTTTTTTGTCCCCTTCTCCTCCTGCCTGCAATCTTTCCCAGCATCAGGGTCTTTTCTAATGAGTCAACTCTTCACATCAGGTGGCCAAAGTATTGGAGTTTCAGCTTTAGCATCAGTCCTTCCAATGAATATTCAGGACTGATTTCCTTTAGGATGGACTGGTTTGATCTTGCAGTCCAAGGGACTCTGAAGAGTCTTCTCCAACACCACAGTTCAAAAGCAGCAATTCTTCATTACTCAGCTTTCTTTCTGGTCCAGTTCCCACATCCATACATGACTACTGGAAAAACCATAGCTTTGACTAGATGGACCTTTGTTGGTAAAGTAATGTCTCTTCTTTTTAATATGCTGTCTAGGTTGGTCATAGCTTTTCTTCCAAGGAGCAGGTGTCTTTTAATTTCATGGCTGCAGTCACCATCTGCAGTGATTTGGGAGCCCAAGAAAATAAAGGCTGCCACTGTTTCCATTGTTTCCCCACCTATTTGCCATGAAGTGATAGAACTAGATGCCATGATCTTTGCTTTTTGAATGTTGAGTTTTAAGCCAACTTTTTCACTCTCCTCTTTCAGTTTCATCAAGAGGTTCTTTTGTTCCTCTTTGCTTTCTATAAGGAGGCTGTCATCTGCATATCTGAGGTTATTGATATTTCTCCATACATAGAGTACATCATGTTCAGTGCTGGGCTGGATGAAGCACAAGCTGGAATCAAGATTGCCAGGAATAATGAGTTCATGATCTGAACCACAGTCAGCTCCCAGTCTTGTTTTTTCTGACTGTATAGACCATCTTTGGCTGCAAAGAATATAATCAATCTGATTTCGGTATTGACCACCTGGTGATGTCCATGTGTAGAGTCATGTCTTGTGTTGTTGGACGAGGGTGTTCACTATGACCAGTGCGTTCTCTTGGTAAATTCTGTTAGCCTTTGCCCTGCTTCGTTTTGTACTCCACCCCCAAGTGTGCCTGTTACTCCAGGTTTCTCTTGACTTCCTACTTTCATGTTCCAATCACCTATGATGAAAAGGACATCTTTTTTTGGTGTTAGTTCTAGAAGGTCTTGTAGGTCATCATAGAGCTATTCAGCTTCTTCAGCATTAGTGGTTGGGGCACAGACTTGGATTGCTGTGATATTGAATGGTTTACCTTGGAAACAAACAGATATCATTCTGTCATTTTTGAGATTTCACCCAAGTACTGCATTTTGGACTTTTGTTGACTGTGAAGGCTACTCCGTTTCTTCTAAGGGATTGTTGCCCACAGTAGTAGATATAATGGTCATCTGAATTAAATTCGCTCATTCCAGTCCATTTTAGTTCACCGATTGCTAAAATGTTGATATTCACTCTTAACCATCTCCTGTTTGACTACTTCCAATTTACCTTGATTCGTGGGACCTAACATTCCAGGTTCTTATGCAATGTTCTTTACAACATTGGATTTTACTTTTACCACCAGACGCATCCACAACTGGGTGTTGTTTCCACTTTGACTCAGACTCTTTATTACTTCTGGAACTATTTCTCTGCTCTTCTCCAGTAGCATATTGGTCACCTGTCAATGTGGGGAGTTCATCTTTCAGTATCATATCTTTTTTCCTTTTCATACTGTTCTTGGGGTTCTCAGGATAAGAATGCTGAAGTGGTTTGCCTTCCCCTTCTCCAGTGGACCACGTTTTGTCAGAGCTCTTCACCCTTACCCATGCGTCTTGGGTGGCCCTATCCATGGCTCATACTTTCATTGAGTTAGACAAGACTGTGATCCATGTGATCAGTTTGGCTAGTTTTCTGTGATTGTGGTTTTCATTCTCTCTGCCACAGGGTCAGGGGCACTGTATATAACAGTCCTGGTTGCCAGTGGCATGCTGGCTTAAGTCCTTTTGAAGGAGGTGGTCATTATGCCATTATCCCTACCATAGTTTGGCCTGAGGCCAAACTACAGGGAGGGAACACAGTCCCACCCATCAACAGAAAATTGGATTAAAGATTTACTGAGCATGGCTCCCCCCATCAGAGCAAGACCCAGTTTGCACAATAGCCAGTACCTCCCATCAGGAAGCTTCCACAAGCCTCTTATCCTTATCCATCAGAATGGGCTAATGGGACAAATGAGCTAAGTTTTAATGTCAGGCAGTGTTAAGTGTTAGTTAAGATTTATGGTTATCAGTTTAGAAAAACAAAGGGGATGTGGATGTGAGTGTGCATGCACATTTATGTTCCCAGTAATTGCCAGCCACTTGCATAAAGATAAAGGAATAAATGAGCAAAGAGTTGGACACGACTGAGAGACTTTCACTTACTCACTCAGAGATATTTATTTGACACTTGGCAGTGCATGGGGAAGAATAACTTCGAGGTCACCACAAGGAGAGTTTGAAAAGTGAAAGTCACTCAGTCGTGTCTGACTTTTCTGACCCCATGGACTATACCATCCATGGAATTCTCTAGGCCAGAATACTGTAGTGGGTAGCCTCTCCATTTTCCAGGAATCTTCCCAACCCATGGATTAAACCCAGGTCTCCCTCACTGCAAATAGCTTGAGCTTCAAAACATTGGGGGTTTTTAGAGAAGAAAGGAAAATTGAGGAGAGAATGGGAAGCAAAAAAGGACATATCTTCCAGACCCTTGAGTACTGGAGATGTAGTATTGAAAAGAAACAAATTAGTCTCTGTTTGAGAGGGCTTCAGGTGACAGGTTTCGGTTAGAGAAATATTAAAAGAAGACTTTGAGGACATTGGGGAATTTGCTGATCTAGACTGTGAATTTTCATGGGTGCATTAGAAAGGGTTGGAAAGGAGAAGGATAACTTAGATTAGTGGATGTATTTTGTTGTTTAGGGATTAAAGTCTGAGTAATGATGGATTCCCTGATGGCTCAGCAGGTAAATAATCCAGTACAATGCAGGAGATACAGGAGATGCGGGATTGATTCCTGGGTCGGGAACATGGAGCCACTCCAATATTCTTGCCTAAAAAGCCCCTAGACAGAGGTGCCTGGCAGGCTACAGTCCATGGGGTCGCGAACAGTTGGACACGAGCAACTGAGCGCACACACACATGATGGATTACTGAGGTAGGACTTGGACTTTCTGATGCCTTTTGAAACTGGATGGTAAGAGGCCACTAGTTAGCTGTTTCCCTCTCTGGTTCTTTGCCCAGAGCCGCAGCCAAGCATAAAGGAGGCCTTCTCAGGAGACTACTCTATCAAGTCCTTGGAGGTACAAAATATATGTAGAATTGTAGTCCTTTGGCAAACCGGGGAAGGAGACTTCGTGGAGTATGAAGCTAAGAAGTTTTTTCACCTTTGAAATCAGACTCAGTATTAAAAGAGAACTCATCTTCAGGTAGCCTGTATTCCAGTACTACTACTAACTTAGTAAAAATGCACTTTTTTCTGTTGTCTAGGTCACGTTTACAAAGAGGAAGTTTGGGCTAATGAAGAAAGCCTATGAGCTCAGTGTGCTCTGTGACTGTGAAATAGCACTCATCATCTTCAACAGCTCCAACAAGCTGTTTCAGTATGCCAGCACTGACATGGACAAGGTTCTTCTCAAGTACACAGAGTATAACGAACCTCACGAAAGCAGAACCAACTCGGATATTGTTGAGGTAACAAATACGTCTAGTGATGCCTGAATTGCAGATAGTAATTAAATTAGATTGCTTTTTATAGCCAAAACATACATCTATTATATTTTTTCTCTGAATTGTTTCTTAGAAGGATCTAAGTATTACTATGTGATGACCCATTTATAAGCATATCCTAATCACCAAGAAAAAATAAACAAGGCTGATATAGTATGTACATCAGTATAGTCTTAACAGTTCATCTGTGATTACTTTTTATATGAGTTTTAAAATTAATATTATTAAAAACTGTATCACCTTGCACAGTATGAAGTTTTGGGTTTTTTATGTCTTAATTATTTCATTACCTCAGTGACTACCCACAATTTTAAACACTAATGAAATGGTGTAAATATTTCTGTTTTGTTTATAGTGCTTTAGTTGTTGGGGGGAGGATAGTCCCTTTTTTAAAAAATTTCTTTTCCTTCAATATCTCATATTTCTACCAACCTATTTAGTGAAAATAAAGAAAAGGAGTTGTTTAGAATGATTTTAGTCCATTCAGAAAGTATTTTAAGACAAAACCTAAAAAAGGAGAATCAGCATGCTTTTCTGTTTAATTCTTTCCTGTTACAAAAATTTTCTTATGAAAGAAAACTTTCTGTGCATATCTCTATAGCATTTTATACTAGTTTCATATTTACTTTTATCTTTTTTGTTTATCCTTATTAATTTTGTTTTATTTTTGTTCAAAATAGGTTTTTTTTCACTGCTTAAAAATATGTGTTTAATTAGTTTTGTAATATTAGAGAACTATTTCAATAAATTAGAGATTTCCTTGGTTAAAATACTGAAATCATGGGAAATGAGGAAAAACTAACCATAAGAGAAGAAATGTAGTCCCAATTTAGGTTTTATTTCAGAAATTGAAATTAAGAAACTTTATTGTGTAGGGATCTAATTTATTTGCCTCCACACATTGTTATAGTTCTGAAAATGCATTTTAAATATCTCCCATGTTTTTCTTCCTTAACCATTCCTTTTGGACAGTAATTGATTGATTCTAACTGCCAAAAAAAAAAACCCTAATAAGGGTTTTTATTAGAAAAAGCCCTTATTTTTTTATTTAATAATCAGTTGCTTGAAATGGAAAATAATAGTCTGATTACAGTTACAGTTCGTCGGTTGCTTGATGTGCCCACTGTTTGATTTGTGTCTTACTCCCTTCAGTGTCTGAAGCTTTTGATCTTGCTTTTGTTAATCAGTTAAACTATATGGTTACATCTTTAACCAAACTCCTTAGCACAGTTATGTTTTTATCAATTGTAAATTATTTTATATCATTTAGCTTTTATGGTAAATCTTATTATGTGCGATATAAACTACTAGACTATTGTTGCATATCAAAATGCATTTTGAATTGTAATTTTAATTGTAATTTTATAAACTAGGGGATCTTGATTTGAGTAAACTTCATAAGAGACTTTGTAACTGGATTTCTTTGAAACAGAAGGTATCCCTGGTGTTTAGTTTAAAACGACATCTTATTTTTAAAAACTCTCTGTCTTATCAAAAGCTCCACTGCCTTAAGTCAAAGAAAAAGAGTTGACCTTAACAAACGAATAGATATTCAGGCTAGTTTCATTATGGAAGGCAGCCACCTGCTTAACCCTAACTACTCTGCTCTTTCATTGCAGCAGTTTTTGTTCTTGGGCCCCAGAAGTTGAGGGTACTTTGCACAGCCTAAAGCTTACTTCCTTAGAGAATATGAAGAATATAGAGTGATTTAATCCTCACAGAATTTTCAAACTACCTGAGTCTTCATCTCTGTTGTGGTCAGCAATGAGTATAAGAGAGTAAATCCCAAACATTTTTTAGCACTCCTCCTGTATTGTAGTTTGCTTCAGTATGAAAGAAAATATTTGAAGCTCAGTTATCAATTGGCATTTTGATGTTTTATTTTTTAGTTGAATTTCTTAGACATAAGCAAACATGAATTTCACCAATAGCTCTTTTTGAAGCTCTGAACTATATAAATACAAGACACATATAAATAAAAGACAGAAGACACATTGAATTAAAAGGGATTTAATTTGTTGTGATAGGATAAAATTATAAAGCTTAATGCACCTTTCTTGTATGTCAGTGTCTTACTGAATTAATCTTCATAAGACTGGATGATTATCATTGTAAGACAGTCTTTATTCCACATGTAAAGGTGATATGCAACTACATCCTCACTAGTAGTGCATACGTACTTGAGTTCTTTTTATTGGTTGTAGTGATGGCTTTATACTAGCGGAGCTACCAAGATGGTTGTGAACCAAACTAAGTTAACAGGATAAGAGTAATGACAAATACTTACTTCCCATGGGCCACTTTCTAAGTGCTTTACAAATATCTTACTTAAGGATATTTTTAGAATATCATTTTAAGTATATTTTCCTTTTACATGTAGTTTTATTTCAAACACTTGTAGTAATTGGAAGCAAACATTTAGAGTTGCATTTGTTTATTTAACAAAAATTTTTGAGGGACTCCTCTGTGTGCCAGGGACTCCACAAAGTGATTTTTAGATTTCGAATTCAAGCCACAATACTGTTTTTTTTCCTACCTATATTTCTGTAAACCACTGAAATACACTTTTACCAACTGAAGATTTTATATTAAACTTCTGACAAGTTGGTTCTGGACTCTCTGGCCATCTCATGTGGCTGAGTACATCAGCAATAGAGTCATGAACAGCTACAAGTGGTCTACTTTACACTGTTTCCATATGTAGTATGAACAGCAGTGAAACTAACTGAAAACTTTGCGAGCAACTTTCATAAGGCCTCTAACCTGAATTCACCCATTTCCTGTTGTGTATGATAGTTTTTAAAACTAGCAGGATTTTTCTTTCCCCCACATTACTAAAATATTCTTTGGCAGAATCTTGACTATATTAAAATGGAGTCTTGTGTGGATGTATTTCTGTTTCATTGGATCCAACACACAGGCCCTTTTGGCATGTACTGTGTAGAATAGAGGGATGCGTGCCCTGTACTGTTGATCACATCTACATAGTCTATGAAATAAGGACACAAATAAAATTAGATCTAATATGTTTTCTGGGAGCACTGTAGAATAAATACAATAAAGTAGAAGTAGTTCATATTTGAATATTGTGATGCTAAACAGAGAAGGACATAATACATTTATCTACCTTTCAATTTTTAACCACAGGTATTAGGAACACTTACACAGAATGGTGTTTGTATCTTTGCTTTTCTTATTTCATATTAATTACATTTTAAAACTAGTCTCTTAAAATTTTAATCAGTTTTAACATTTTAATCATAGTTGATAAGAATTTTTTTCTTTATAGCTTCTTAAAAGTCAACAGCATTTACATATTTTAAGTTGCATTTAGGTATTTTAGATTAAGGTTTGCAGTGTCTTGGGTGTATATATCACCTATGATGTGGTACATTCTTTATTAAAAAATGAGTTTTACTACTTTATTACCTATATCAAAAATATACATTATATCTTTTTATGTAAGTACACAAAAAAAGATGGTAGATTTTGTTTCGTCCTATCAAAGATAGTAATTTAACTGGAAGGTACAAAGAAAATGTTATAACCCCCAAATCTTCCTTTCAGGATATTGATTTAAAAATTTGTGAACTTTATTATGTAATTTTATAAGAATATTACATATATCCTAGAGTATTAGAAACTAGAAATGAAAATCACCAGTGTAATTAGTTGCCATTATTCATTCACATATGTGTATGAATTGAATTTAAACTCAATAAAAGCCTAGACCAAATAGAATGGTTCTGCATCAAAATAAAAATTATGCTAAAGGCATGAAGTGAAGTAGCAGCTGCTACACAATAAATGCCCAAGATTACTTTGTAATGACATATCTTTCACTTTGCAGTATTTGCAATAATATTTGAAGTATTAGGTATTTCTCCATGTAATGACTTGGTGGCATTGAACATTCAGTAAATAGTTAAATGTGGTGATTCAGATCATTGTGCTGCCATTTAAGCATGTAAATATAGAGGCCGTGCCCATTTATCTTTCTTATTAATATCTTGTGAACCATTCCCAAATAGAGGTACTTTATTCATCACAGAATTAAAAAAATTTTTTTTCACTTGCATTATATATCATTTGATCTTCATATCCAAGGTAAGCTTTCTCAGAAGCAGAAATTGAGACCAGAGTTAAATGACTTGCCTAGATTCATGTAGCAGTTTAATGGGAGAAGTGGGATTAGAACCTGGGCCTTTAACAGTAACTCCTCCCTTTGTTCCCTAGTTTACCAGATCCATCCGAGCTCTGCAACATTTCACCATAAACAGATAAGATTTTATACATGTACCAGTAATGTATTAATATGTGACAAACATGAGTAAGTTTTCCTGAATAATGAACAGAAAATTAGTGAGGTAATTGCAATAAGAATACTACAAAACATTTATCAATGTACTCATTATGACCTGGTGCTCTTCCAAGGGCTTTTATTGATATTATTATCTTATTGATGAGATGGTTAGATAGCATCACCAACTCAATGGACATAAATGTCAAATGGACATTTGAGCAAACTCCAGGAGATCCTGGAGGACAAAGGAGCTGGCATACTGCAGTCCACGGGGTCACAAAGAGTCAGACACAACTTAGTGACTAAATGACAACAATAAAATTATTTTATTGAATCCCTGTAATTGTCCCCATTTCACAGTTGAGGAAATTAAGGCGCAGTGATGAATGAAGTAAAATGATGATAATTTGCATTCTGAAGGAAGAGAAAATCTGCTTTTTGAGTCTTAATAGTTCTTCCCGCTTTAAAATTACAACAGAATTTGGAAATAATATAGAAAGGAGGATAGGGCGTCAATATAAGATACGTTTAAGAATTATTAAATAAAAACAGCTGGTAGCAAAAGTAATCATACCAGTGATTCATACCATTTAAAATCAGTGGTTCTTAAAGTGTGATGCCTTGACCAGAAGCATCAGGATTACCAGAGAACTTGTTAGAA